GTATAATAATAATAATAATATAAATCCTGTATAATAATAATAATATAAATCCTGTATAATAATAGTATATAAATCCTGTATAATAATAATAATAATATATAAATTCTGTATAATAATAATAATAATAATAATAATAATAATATATATCCTGTATAATAATAATAATATATAAATTCTGTATAATAATAATAATATATAAATACTGTATAATAATAATAATATAATAAAAAATCATTCAGATTCAGAATACTTTATTAATACCAAAGGGAAATTATTAAATTAAATATATAACACTACATAAAACAGATATTATATTAAAAAAAAAATATAATACTACATAAAAATATATATAATAAAAAATAATTCTAATATTATTATCCCTGAATTCCATCCCCCTTGCTGGAATGGATATCTTTCCCCAGAAGAACTTAGAGGAGGGGAATGCGGGTGCTGAGGAATGGAGTCTTCCTAATCCTCTGCTTGTTGGTATGATAATCCTGTGTAACCACGGCACTGTAGGAAAGGAGAAATGAACTTCTCTTGTAACAGGAATGAAAGGTCTGAGAAATGGAGCCGCAGATGAGATAGTGGAGGAAACCTGATTTAAAGGAGCGGTAACCCTAAAATGTAGGTGAACTATGGAGTAATTGTAAGAAGGGGGCCCGAGATCTTTGGTCACTCTGCTCTCCTCCTTCGGAGCTGTCCGTGGTGCTGAACCTTGTTGAACTGACCAGCTAAAGCCTGGATGAGCATCATCATGATATATATGTATATGGAGGCAACACCTACCTCAGATCTTTACAATTTTCATAACACAGCATATATACAAAGCTTAAAAAAACATCTGAGAGACGCGGCCATTACTGACCTCTCCTGAAAAATGCCAATGTTTCTGGCCTAAGCAGTACTGAGGTCCCCTTATGCTCCCTCCTACTGGAAACTGTCTACCATTCCTCCTCCACCAGCTTTAAGTACCCGAAACCTGCAGTACAGCAGTGTGGAGTACAGTGCACAACCTCCAACTACCCCAGTCTGATTTCTGCTGTGCTGGGGATTTTAACCATCTCCTGCCCGCTGTATTGACAAATGACGGACGGATGGGTGGGAGCTCTCTTGTTAAGGGAGGATGTCAGGGGGCACGCGGTGCTGCGATTGGTGCTGCGCTGTGTCCCTAGGACACAGTGGATTTCATTTGAGATAAAGCGCCAAAGACATAGGCTCTTTACCATGTGATCAGCTGTGCCCAATCACATGTAAATAGGAAATGCTGGTTATCGGCAGTCCTCTCCTCATGCTGACAGCCAGAAGAGGAGAGCCGATAAGTGGCAATGTTCAGAGGAGACCTCTACACTGATAATCATAGAACTGATCATCACTGCCCTGATTATCAGTGCAGCCCCATCAGTGCCCATCAGTGATGCCTGTCAGCACCTCCTAATCAGTGCTGTCTATCAGTGCCCATCAGTATCACCTATCAGTGCAGCTCCATCAGTGCCCATAAGTGCTGCCTTTCAGTGCCCATCAGTGATGCCTGTCAGCACCTCCTAATCAGTGCCCCCTATCAGTGCTGTCTATCAGTGCCCATCAGTGTCACCTATCAGTGCAGCCCCATCAGTGCCCATAAGTGCTGCCTTTCAGTGCCCATCAGTGATGCCTGTCAGCACCTCCTAATCAGTGCCCCCTATCAGTGCTGTATATCAGTGCCATCAGTGCCCATAAGTGCTGCCTTTCAGTGCCCATCAGTGATGCCTGTCCGCACCTCCTAATCAGTGTCTCCTATCAGTGCTGTCTATCAGTGCCCATCAGTGTCACCTATCAGTGCAGCCCCATCAGTGCCCATATCAGTACTGCCTTTCAGTGCCCATCTGTGATGCCTGTCAGCACCTCCTAATCAGTGCTGACTATCAGTGCCCATAAGTGCTGCCTTTCAGTGCCCATCATGCCTGTCAGTGCCTCCTCATCAGTGACCCCTATCAGTGCTGTCTATCAATGCCCATCAGTGTGTGCCTATCAGTGCAGCCCATCAGTGCCCATAAGTGCTGCCTTTCAGTGCATATCAGTGTTGCCTGTCAGTGCCTCCTCATCAGTGCTGTCTATCAGTGTCGCCTATCAGTGCAGCCCCATCAGTGCCCATAAGTGCTGCCTTTTCAGTGTCCATCAGTGGTGCCTGTCAGTGCCTTCTCATTAGTGCTGTCTATCAATGCCCATCAGTGTCGCCTGTCAGTGCAACCTCATCAGTGCCCATAAGTGCTGCCTTTCAGTGCCCATTAGTGATGCCTGTCAGTGCCTCCTCATCAGTGCTGTCTATCAGTGCCCATCAGTGATGCCTGTCAGTGCCTCCTCATCAGTGACCCCTATCAGTGCTGTCTATCAATGCCCATCAGTGTTGCCTATCAGTGCAGCCCCATCAGTGCCCATAAGTGCTGCCTTTCAGTGCATATCAGTGTTGCCTGTCAGTGCCTCCTCATCAGTGCTGTCTATCAGTGTCGCCTATCAGTGCAGCCCCATCAGTGCCCATAAGTGCTGCCTTTCAGTGTCCATCAGTGGTGCCTGTCAGTGCCTTCTCATTAGTGCTGTCTATCAATGCCCATCAGTGTCGCCTGTCAGTGCAACCTCATCAGTGCCCATAAGTGCTGCCTTTCAGTGCCCATTAGTGATGCCTGTCAGTGCCTCCTCATCAGTGCTGTCTATCAGTGCCCATCAGTGATGCCTGTCAGTGCCCCCTATCAGTGCTGTCTGTCAGTGCTCATCAGTGTCACCTATCAGTGCAGCCTCATCAGTCTACATCAGTGAAGGAGAACAATGACATATTTTAAAAAAAAATCCAAAATTTTCAGTGCTTTTTTATTTGTTTAGCAAAAAATAAAAACCCCAGTGGTGATGAAATACCACCAAAAGAAAGCTCTATTTGTGTGAATGATAAATGATAAAAATTTCATATGGGTACGGTGTTGCATGACCGCACAATAATTATTCAAAATGAGACAGCGCTGAAAGCTGAATATTGGCCTGGGCAGGAAGGGGGTAGAAGTGCCCGGTAGGCAGGGGGTTAAGAAGACTATATAATACACATTTCAGGCAGTTGCATCAGCACAATTTTATAATACATGTTATTTTAAATGGAATATAGAATGGTTTTGGTCAATTGTATTTGAATTAAAATGAAGTGCAGGCAAACAGCTAATTACACAGATAATATACATATACAGTAGATGTTTTACCTGTCCAGCTAGTCCTGGGATTCACACAGCTCTGCTATATAGCACAGCTCTGTCTGAACTTTCTATGCTGCAGTAAGTAACACAGGTATTTCCATTCCGCCAGCCTGTCATTGGACTATGGAATGAGAAGCAGCATGAACTCCTTTGTCACTCTGCTCTTTCCCCTCTCTCATTGGCATGCTTCTTGTTTGCACATAAGCCCTGCAGCACACCAGGTTCTGTATTCTGCACTGCCATACAGGGACTGCATGAGACTGATACGAGGCCAAATCCAGACACTGATACCACTTGCATTTACATAAATACATATAATGATGCATTGATGATTACAGAGCTGTATAATGATGTCTTATATCTGTCTGCAGTCCAGCTCATACGCTTTCAAACTGCTTTATATCTTTTTTTTGGTAGATTTTTTGATTTTACAAATATTTAATACTGAGATTTACAGAACTTTATGGGTATTCTCAAAAGAGAGAGCAGGAGCTTATTACCTTCAAAGTCTCTGAGTGAAACCCAATACAGCTCATCTGAACAAGCAGGGCGGAAGAGGAGACACTTTTCTGATTCATTTCTGTTTGTAAATCTACACTTGAGCTATTGAGCTCCGTATAAAGACTTTTAGCAAATGAGCTGAGATTAGCCTTTTAAACTTAAAGCGGAGTTCCACCCAAAAGGGGAAGTTCCGCTTTAAAGATTGGTCCCCCGCTCCCCATTAAGGATTGGCACCTTGGGGGAGCGGGTACCTGAAATTGACAGGTACCCACTCCCACTTCCGCTGCGATCGCCTATACTATTGGAAGCAGAAGTTGTCCTCTTACCCTCCCTCCCCGTAGTCTTGTGGGACACGTGACAGGTCCCAGAAGATGAAGGGGGCCATTCAGGAAGCGCAGCACTACTCACGCATGCGCAGTGGGCACCCGGCTGTGAAGCCGCAAGCTGTCACAGCCGGGTGCCCACACTGAACATGCTGGCACCTGGAATACAGGACAGCCGGTGAAACAGGCTACGGCAGGGGGGACCGAGGGACAGGTAAGTGGCTGTTTTTTAAAAGTCAGCAGCTACAGTTTTTGTAGCTGCTGACTTTTATTTTTTTACAGAGTGAGTGGAACTCCGCTTTAAAGAAACACAAAGCACCACTTGCTGGCTATTTATGAACTATTCATATGCAGTGTTATATTTATGTAAAAAAAAGGAAATCTATTTTTAATATATTTTTTTCTGAGTATATGAAATAATAAATACAGTGTGTATGTATATATGTATACAGATATATATTGTGAGACACTGGTGGGCAGGATTGTGGGTGTGTCACCTATGTTTCTTACATACATATGGTGAGGCTCTCCAGGGTTTGGTACTGACGTAGAGAAAACATTTTTTTTTTTTTAGAATCTTGCTAAATTCAGTTTTGGGTCCTGAAGTCTGGGTGAAATAAAGCTTCCATCCCTAGGTCCAGATCCTACTTAGTGGCCAATCTCCACCCCTTCCTGCCTACTGACTTCTGGAAGGCTCTATGGTCCTCCAGGGTCAGGAGGAGGTGATGGAGCCAAAACCTGTTAAGTCATCCAGCTGACCTGCAGTAACCCGACCTCAATCACAGACTCACACTACTACCATGGGTCACACTCAATTATTTTACCTACAATACACTACACTATTCTAGTAGCATACTAGAGGGTGCTACATATGTGAGCTGACTGATGCTCAGGACTCTTTTTAGCTCTGCTGTGGGATCCTGCTGCTGGGTGAAAAGGGTGAGTGCTGACAACTCATGAGGCCCCCGGTGGGTACCAGGGGCATCTCATGGGGCCCCCTACTGACCCCGATGGTTCCAGATGGTCAGTCCGCCCCTGGTGCTGACAGAACACTAAAGAGGTACAAGTGCTGCCTGTTTGTATTAGGGAACCCATTAGGTGGCACCTTTTCTGGAAGGGGGCACCTTTTTTGGAACTTTAGTGGCTCAGACAACCAGATGCTTATTTGTTGTATGCTGTACACAGTTCCCCTGCACTGAAACTCAGTTTGCTGCCTTGCTGAAAACAAAAATGGAGGGCCAACCTGCTTGATCTTTTCCTGGATGCCCATGGTTTACTACTGCTGCTACAAGTTGGGTCTGTCTCCCTTACAATACATATATAGAATATATACTGTACATATACATATATTACCTTTAATTAACAGGTATCTAGTCTAGTGTTGTTTATTTCATTTGTCCGGAGTCCATTCCATAGGAGCTCTCTCATGCAGTGTCACCCACACATTCCAAAATGGACATTTGCTATCATTTGTTTTGCACTTCTGGCCAGGATGATGGTTTTCTAAAGTATTTCTGATGAGTAGCAGAATACAAGCAGCATGATTTAAACATGACTTGGTAACGGCATTATAGATTTGCTGGAGCAACAGTTCATGAATATTAATAAGGCTTCTTTCCTGGCGGTTCGGGTTCAGTCAGCTACAGAGATTGTTGTTCTCGATCAGCGGGAAGGCTGGATGGCCGATGGGTCATGCTGGTGCAGAAAGCAGCGCTTACATATGGAAACAGCATTATGCAAACAGTTGTCTTTCTTAGGAGAAAGATGTAGATTTGTGACCCACATATTTTTGTAATTTCTTTAAAGGACTGATATAACTAGTATGTAAAAACTGTCCCATATTACTAATCACATTCACAGCCATATGTAAACGTGTAAGACACAACTGTGTCTACCCACATGGAAGAGAAATATATTTCCAATATATTTAGAAAAATAATGATATACAGTCAGGTCCATAAATATTGGGACATGGACACAATTCTAACATTTTTGGCTCTATACACCACCACAATGGATTTGAAATGAAACGAACAAGATGTGCTTTAACTGCAGACTGTCAGCTTTAATTTGAGGGTATTTACATCCAAATCAGGTGAACGGTGTAGGAATTACAACAGTTTGCATATGTGCCTCCCACGTGTTAAGGGACCAAAAGTAATGGGACAATTGGCTTCTCAGCTGTTCCATGGCCAGGTGTGTGTTATTCCCTCATTATCCCAATTACAATGAGCAGATAAAAGGTCCAGAGTTCATTTCAAGTGTGCTATTTGCATTTGGAATCTGTTGCTGTCAACTCTCAAGATGAGATCCAAAGAGCTGTCCCTATCAGTGAAGCAAGCCATCATTAGTCTGAAAAAACAAACAAACCCATCAGAGAGATAGCAAAAACATTAGGCGTGGCCAAAACAACTGTTTGGAACATTCTTAAAAAGAAGGAACGCACCAGTGAGCTCAGCAACACCAAAAGACCCGGAAGACCACGGAAAACAACTGTGGTGGATGACCGAAGAATTCTTTCCCTGGTGAAGAAAACACCCTTCACAACAGTTGGCCAGATCAAGAACACTCTCCAGGAGGTAGGTGTATGTGTGTCAAAGTCACCAATCAAGAGAAGACTTCACCAGAGTGAATACAAAGGGTTCACCACAAGATGTAAACCATTGGGGAGCCTCAAAAACAGGAAGGCCAGATTAGAGTTTGCCAAACGTCATCTAAAAAAAAGCCTTCACAGTTCTGGAACAACATCCTATGGACAGATGAGACCAAGATCAACTTGTACCAGAGTGATGGGAAGAGAAGAGTATGGAGAAGGAAAGGAACTGCTCATGATCCTAAGCATACCACCTCATCAGTGAAGCATGGTGGTGGTAGTGTCATGGCGTGGGCATGTATGGCTGCCAATGGAACTGGTTCTCTTGTATTTATTGATGATGTGACTGCTGACAAAAGCAGCAGGATGAATTGTGAAGTGTTTCAGGCAATATTATCTGCTCATATTCAGCCAAATGCTTCAGAATTGGATGCCGCTTCACAATGCAGATGGACAATGACCCAAAGCATACTGCAAAAGCAACCAAAGAGTTTTTTTAAGGGAAAGAAGTGGAAGGTTATGCAATGGCCAAGTCAATCACCTGACCTGAATCCGATTGAGCATGCATTTCACTTGCTGAAGACAAAACTGAAGGGAAAATGCCCCAAGAACAAGCAGGAACTGAAGACAGTTGCAGTAGAGGCCTTGCAGAGCATCACCAGGGATGAAACCCAGCGTCTGGTGATGTCTATGCGTTCCAGACTTCAGGCTGTAATTGACTGCAAAGGATTTGCAACCAAGTATTAAAAAGTGAAAGTTTGATTTATGATTATTATTCTGTCCCATTACTTTTGGTCCCTTAAGAAGTGGGAGGCACATATGCAAACTGTTGTAATTCCTACACCGTTCACCTGATTTGGATGTAAATACCCTAATTAAAGCTGACAGTCTGCAGTTAAAGCACATCTTGTTCGTTTCATTTCAAATCCATTGTGGTGGTGTATAGAGCCAAAAATGTTAGAATTATGTCGATGTCCCAATATTTATGGATCTGACTGTATGTGACATATGTTTACAATATATTGGCCTATGCTAATATATTTTAAAAATGTAAATTTAATATATTTTCTAAAGGCATATATTTAAAAATATTAGGGCAGCACAGTGGCTAAATGGTTAACACTTCCGCCTGGCAGTACTAGAGTCATTGGTTCAAATCCCAACCATGGCATCACCTGCCTGGAGTTTGCATGTTCTCCCTGTGCCTGCGTGGGTTTAACCTGGGTACTCCAGTTTCCTCCCACACTCCAAAGACATGCTAGTAGTTTAATTGGATCCTGTCTAAATTGGCCCTAGTATGTGTATGTATGAATGTAGGCTAGGGACTTTATATTGTACGCCCCTTGAGGGTTAGGGACTGATGTGAATGTACAATATATATGTAAAGCGCTGCGTAAATTGATGGCGCTATATAAGTACCTGTAATAAATAATAATAAAAATATATTTTTCATTTTTTTTTTAACATGTAAAAAAGTCATTTTAACTGCTTGTAAATGCATTCTGAAAATGTAGATTCAATGTATTTTCAAAAGACATATATTTGAAAATGTATTTTTAAAAATATTCTTCATATATTTTTTCATATATCAAAAACACATCTCAACATACACTTTATATTTCATTTGAAATATATTTTTTGAAATATATTGAATACGGCCAAAATAGAAGTTTTTCAAATATATGTCATATATGTAGGTAGTGTAGGGCTTTATTATTGACACAAGTCCAGCATCTTATGCAAACTATATGTCATGGATGCTCCCTGTATTCAGTGTTTATTTGTTCAACAAGGATTTTATACAAACAAAATAAATAGACATTTCATTATACAGGTGTACCTCGGTTTACGAACGCCTCGGTTAGCGTAATTTTTGATTTATGAATGAAAATCCATTGAAAATAATGCCTCAGTTTGCGAATTTTTTTCGCAATATGAACAGATTAATTGGTTTTCAATGCATTTACAATTTATTTTTTTCAAATCATATCCCTGTACAGTACTATGCCTTTTAAAGTGCACTTTATAAAGAGTTTTTGAACAGATAAAATACTTTTTTGTTACTTTTTTCTGACCTCCGGAACGGATTAATTGGTTTTCAATGCATTCTTATGGGAAACTGCGTTTCGGTTTACAAATTTTTCGCAATAGGAAAAATCTCGCAGAACACATTAAATTCGTAAACCGAGGTACGCCTGTATACCTTAAAATAAAATGAATTAAATTGACAAAATGACATAGTTTACCTTCAAGGACATCCACCTTGAATTACCAGGAGAGGTCAGAAATGGAGGTTTCCATATTTATCTAAGCATTGCTTCACTAATAGACCAACCAGTTAGGACAGCAATGGAGCCCAACCTAGATACATTTAAAATAACAGACTATATGCAGTCCCCAATGACATGAAATACCCACAATGCTTTTCATAGCAGGAGACCATATGATTTAGGGTTATGGTCACGGGAGGGAGCTGGAAGGCAGCTTTTTTTTTTTTTTTGCTGATAATAGTAAATTCACACAAAGTATATAACCAAGGTCAAAACTTTTTTGGGTCTTGGAAAGATTGGAAGGGTTAGAACTCGTTTCTGGTTTTATTGTTGTCAGGGAGATTCACCCTCCTTGTCCCCAGGATACAAAGTGATGTCAAATTCAGTTTTACAGTTGTCACCATAACAGGAATAAAAGAGAAGTCTCGTTGGTAGCAACCCACTGAATTGCAGAATGCACAGCAGACAGTCTCAATAAACTGCCTTGCGCTGTAGTCACCAGCCCACCAGTATCTGCAGGGTTGTTCACAACATATTGCAATGAAATATGTATATAGGTATGCATTTGGTATATTTTTGCTGAACTTCTTGTATAGTTTTAGTTGCATATTTCCATTGATCCATCTTGGACCAATGTAAGTATCCATACCTGTAGGAATGCTGTAGAAGATAGTCATTACTACTACAGTGATCGCTGATGTCTACTGGTTCTTTTGCATAATGAACACAGGGGGTCGCTCACTTGGCATGGGCGCCATTCACAGAAAACATTTCTTTTTTCTTAATGAATACAAAGCGTTCTTTGTCCTCTGGTAATGTCACAATCTCTACCTTGTCCAATCAGAGAATTTTTTGCATTCACTGAGAAAAATGCTTCAATAACTGAAATGTACTTTTTATAAGGCACAATTCTATAATGGAATCTAAGTGTGTTATATGTATGATGAACAAAAGCAAAACAGGGTGCACTCTCTTTGTGCATTAATGTAGTAAACCAAGAATTTATTATAAAGCATAAAAATGCATACTGACAAACCAAAGGGGAATAAAAATAGACAAGAAGAGTCCATAATGACAGTCCAAAGTGATGATAGACCCTTAGTGAGGTAAACTAACGCGTTTCGGGAGACAAACTCCCTTCATCAG